GGCCTCAACCTCACACCTGTGTGTCCGCCAGACACCAGCTGAGAAGGCCATGCCGCCCTTTCATTTCTCCTTCCTTTGGAAGGACTGAAAAGTGTCCTGTCCCTGAGCAATATAGCATTATTCTCAAAAGTAGGGCACAACTCTGTGGGGAAGATTGGTTTCTGGGACACGGCCCTGAGGGTGTGGGGCGGGCAGTGATGGTGGCCACCCGTGTGCACAGAGACGCTGCCAGCAGCGACGGTGTCCGCGGACACAGACTGGATTTCAAAAACAGAGGCTTCTGCTTTTCATGCCACTTGCTGGCACCAGCTCACAAAAAAAAAGAAAAAGAAAATTGTGAATGGTGCTGGGTTAACTGGATTCAAGATCAATGGTTCTCCATCACCTCTGCCCCACGACACGTCACCACTCCTGCAAAGAGTGACACTGGCTTCTTCACCTCGGGCTGCCGGAAAAAATACATAAATAATCATGTCTCAGACTAGGTGGGTCATCAACCTCTCACAGTTCCAAACCCAGGTGTCAGCATGGTCAGCTGCTGGAAAGAGCCCTGTCCCTCATCTGCAATGGCCACCTTCACATTGTGACCTCCGGTGGAGAGGGAATGGTCTCCTCTTCTAAGGAACGAACCCCATCGTGAGGTTCTGTTCTCAGGACCTGGTTTGACCTTGATTACTTCCCAAAGATCTGATGTCGAGATACAGTCACGTGGTCCCTTTTCACACTGGGGGTTAGGACCTCGGTGACCGGTCCACAGGGCCCGGCAGAGGTCTCATGGACCCTTCATCTGAGGCTATTGGACACCCCCCCTTCGCGACTCAGCCCCCACCAGGGCTTCTCAGATGAGGCACTCCCTGGTCTCGCCCCCGACTCTCTGGCCACATCTCAGGTTTCGTCCTGGCCACTGGATCCCTTCCCACCTGTCTCCCAGATGCCTCTCTCCCCTTCACGCTCCCCGAGGGGAGCTCACTCTTGCCCGTGGCTTCACTGATTGCTTATTCCAGGGTCAGACCCACCTCAGGGTGAATCCCTCTACCAACAGCTCTGTGCTCCTGGCCAGATTAGCATCCATGCACGCTGGTTTCTGAACACGTAGAGCAGGCAATAATCATCCACCACCCATCCAGCCTTGATCTCCCCCTCCCCACCCATCCTCCTTCTCCAGCCTCGGTGGGGTGGGGCGCCCAGGCAGGAACAGGAATGGAGTCTCCATCACAGACACACTTTAGAGACACGCTGTCCATTCTGACCACTGTGTGGGGCGTCAGCTTGGCAGGCGGTGAGGGATGAGGCCAGGGGCGAGGAAGCCCTTGTGCCCTTAGCTAGTGCACACTATTTGCCGTTTGTGGAGTTCTCCTTGTGCCAGACACGTAGTCACATGAACCGCCTCTTTCAACCCTCTCCGAAAACCCCAGCCTCAGGTGCAGAATTATTCTTCCTCTCCGCGCTCCAAGGCGGGAGGCCCTGAGGCTGAGTCTTTCCCTCCGTTAGCCTTGGCCCCGTACCTGGTAAACGGTGGAGCTAGGACCAGGCTTTGTAGCTGGAATCCCATGCCCCTCTTGGAGGGTCCCCTCTGGTTATCGAGGGAGGGTTGAATCTGTGAGCTCTCGAGGGGGTGAGAAAGACTGGGCTGGGCAGTCAGTGGGAAGAAGAAGAGGCCGTCAGGGCCTGTTGGCATGACTGGGCAGATGATGGTGTTTCTCAGCAGGAGACGGATGGGGTGGAGAAACAGGTGAACCGGAGGGGCCACTCTGTTAACACCTTTAAAGGAGCAGAAATGTAGTTCTCAAGTTCAAAGCAGAGTCTGGAGATGAGATATCAGTCACTCCTTCCTCCTCCTTCTCCCCCACCGTTCCTGCAGTCATTAATCGTGTGCTGGGAATGGAGCCAGATTCTTCACAGAAGGGATCCTGCTGAGCCCCGCGGCCCTCTGAGAGAGGCTTTGTCCCCATTCACAAGTGCTCGCTGCCCCTCCATGAGCCAAGACGGCTGTGGGCCCAGGGAGCTGACCACTGTGCAGGTGAGCCGAGAGACAGGCCCAGGGAGGCCTGCCGTAGTTATCAGGAAGGTCCTCTTCCGAGCGGTGACGATGGGACCAGAGATGAAACTAGTGTTGAAAACACATCAGGATCTGGGTCCCCACTGCAGAGAGAGAGAGAGACTTTTTTATAGAGGAGGGGGTTCGAAGCTGGTGCCCAAAGGAGTGTGTGTGTGGGTGTCCTGTCCCTTTTACAAATCTCAAATTTCCTTTGTTCTCATCTCCCCTCCTCCCATCCTGGAGAAGAGTGAGCCAAGAGCAGCATTAGTTAACCACTCCTTGCTGGGAGGAACCGGCTTCTGGAGACTGGCAACCCTGGCAACAGGCTGGAGGAAGGGGAAGTGCTCGGGAGGTATTAGCATTTTGAATCAGTCCCATCTTCCCGACCCGACCATTCATGATCTCACTGACTGCCCTCCTGCCTCAGTGAGACCCAATGAAGGGGCGAAGGAAGCCAGCCGTGGACAAGGTTGTGGGAAGAACACTCCCATCCTTCAGAGGCCAGGCGACAGAGAGGAAGACAATGTGCAGGGAGGCAGGAGGCACGGCCGGGTGGGGCCCAAGGAGGCCAGGAGCCAGGCTTGGGCAGCTGGCAGGGTCTTGCAGTTTGATTTCATTCCCAATATGAAGGGAAGCCTTTGGAAACTGTCAGCAACCCAGAGGTGTGACTGCAGAGAGACAGGTCAGTGCCTCATTGGCCGGCCAGTTAGTAGACCAGGCACAAAAAAAACAATAATTACTGAAACTCTGATGTTAGAATGGAAGGTGGGGAATGAGGACACAACTGGGAGGCATCAGAGGTGGGGTGGGATTGGGGTGCAGTGTCGGGGCAATGTGACCAAGAGGCAGACGGGAGGCCTCTTGGCCTAGGTTACTGTATGTTTGTGGTATTCTCACTGTTCTGCTTCATGGCTGGGATTTTTAGAAGATCTATAATCACCATCTATACCACGTTCCCATAGGATTTCTACACATTCATCTACACAATACCTGTTCTGTGGAGTGCATCAAATGCTTCACCATTTAATTTTTAAGAAATTTAAGGTATGACAAGGATATACTCCAAACTGTTTGGGGTGGGGATTTGGGGTGGGAGAACAGGGAGAGCTTCAGGGGGACCAGACTTCTTGTAAATAGACTCTAAGTCAATTTTTTCCTTTCACAGTTTGGAAAACAAGAATCAGGAAAGAAATACAAGAGCAACTGGTGTCAATGATGTTGCTGAAGTTGTTGGAGCAGCTTTTAGTGTTTCCATCCAGGCCATTTGGCCTGCTATGCAGGATGCCAATCATTGAAGCAATGAATTTTGCAAAAGAAAAAGAGTTTATTCATACAAGTATCCAATCAGCCTCCTGGAAGATAGGGCTTAGGGCTATTAATAGAATAAGGACACAGGAGGTCAGAGGTATGGGGAAAGATGATTGGAGGTGAGGAAAAGTGAAGTCATGGATGATTTGTGCACATAGAAGCAATCTATGGCTTTTCACAGGAACATGTTCAGAAAATGATGGTACCTAGCATGCTCTGAAGAGGTTGTTCTGGGCCCTCTGAAGTCAAGAAGTCTCTTGTTGGATACTTGCACAGGCCCAAGTAAAGAGCCAGTGGTTTCAACCAGTTTGAATGACCTCTAAGTTCCTGAAAAACAACTTAGGCAAGCATTACCAAAGGGACCCAGAGTTCTCAGTGTTCTCCACAGCAAAACCAACAGGAGTATTTTGCTCAGTGACATGACCTCTAAGATTTATGTTAAAAGGGAGTAAAGCCAGATCCCTTGGTTTCAATAGGATCCTGGAGAGAGTCACAGAGTCAGGGCAGCCAGAATGGAGCTGAGCCTTGCTGTGACAATGACAGTCCTGCCATCTGGTCATTGTCAGGAGCCTCTCTAAAGGCCCGTGTGTAGCTGCAGATCACATTGCAGCAAAGTTACAGGATAACTTAATCTTTTAAAATCTGAGCTACTGACAATTTTTTTTTTCTAAGTCCCTCAGAGTGGAGAAGTTGAAGAATTGAAAAAGAATTAAATCACAGATTGTATGAGACCTTCTGGGATTAATCATTCTGGGTTTGTTTGTTTGTTTCCTTATAGAGAAAAAAAGCAAAATGTTTTTTAAAAAAAACTTTTTGCTACTGAATTTTTCCAAACTACCTAGGATAAGAACCTGCTCCATGAATTCTTTCATTTATGCAAAGCCTGGAAGAATTCAGCAGCGGGAAAGAGCAGCCGTACCTAGGGACTTGCTCCTGGGGAAAGACGATTCAAGAGTAAAGAGGTCACCCTCGGAGAGGACCTGTGGGAGAGGGCGGACTGCAAGGAGAACAGTCACCTGGGTCCCATCCCCAGAGCCCCTGCTGGCCCAGTGCAGACGCATGGAGAGGTCATCATAAAGAAAAGATCTCCTGGATCACAGCAGGGAGCTATCCCAAAGCCTAAGCACACTGTGATGTTCCAAAAAGTACTTGTCAGCGGGTGTGACATGGGCAGAGTGACATGTGTATGCTATATCTCTGCCCTGGTTCCTGGCACACCCTTGCAATCCCTGGAGCGATTCGGGTATGTTTTATATACTAACAAAATGGCTGGCCGCTGAGAACCCTGGGAGCTTCAGGATCGGGGCCGGTCACAGCAAAGACCAAGATGGGATGCGAGGTTCGGGGCTTTCAGCTCCCCCTTCACTCCCAACCGGAGGGAGGCCCAGGGCTGATCACCAAAGGCTGGTGATGGAATCAGGCTTGCTCTATAGCGAAGCCTCCGTGGGGCCCTCAAAGGGCAGAGTCCAGGGAGCTGGAGGAGGGCCAAGCACCTGGAGACTGGAGGTGGTCATGGTAGCCCACGCAGCTTCCCATCCCCCCGGCCCCCGGGCATCTCTTCAAGTGCCCCCTTTGTGACATCCCCTATGACACAGTGGAATGCTTCCCTGGTCTGTGAGTGGCTCCAGAGAATCAGTTGTCCCTAAGGAGGGAACTGGGGGGACTCTGACTTACAGAGGGTTGATCCAAAGCCCAGGTAAAAGGACCAGGTCTTGCAATGGCCATCTCCAGGAGTAGGGAGGGGACGTCTTGGGGACTGAGCCCCCAATCTGTGGTGTCTGAAGCCATTCCCAGGTAGACAGTGTCAGAATCAAATTGAATTAGGTGACCCTCAGCGGGGGGGGGGGGTCATACCAAAACTTCTTTATCCACTCATCAGTTGATAGGCAACTAGTTTGGGCTCCACAGCTTAACTATTATGATCTGTGCTGCTACACGCATTGATGTGGCTCTGTCACTGTGGTATGCTAAGTTGAACTCTTTGGGGTACATGGTGAGGAGTGGGAGAGCTGGGCCAAATGGTGGTTCCATTCTCAGCTTCTTGAGGAATCTCTATACTGCTTTCCAGAGTGGTTGCACCTGATTTGCAGTCCACAGGGAGCATTCTTAAACATGATTGGAAAGCCAGGTACTATGTAGGGGAAAAAAATGAAAATATTTTTAAATTTTTAAATTGTGATATTTTAAATAAGGCTAAATTTAAAATGTTAAAAATGTGATGTAAAAAACCCGTTTCAATATAAATTCCTTCATCAAAAACCATAGTAAATAATTTTTTAACAGTAAACTGGAAAATATTTTTATATTTATGTATTCTTATGCAAAGACCTGATACATATACACTCCTATAAAACAAAATGGGCAAAGGAAAAGAGCACACAAATGCATAGAATGTCTGCAAATGACCAATTTACTTGTGCAAGGATGATCTATCTCATTAGTATCGTGCAAAAAAAATTCGAATTAAAATGATAATGAGGTATTGTTTTTTAGTTATCAAAATGGCCAAAAGTTTCAATATCATAACAAGCTCTGACTGGCAAGAGGGTGGGAAAAGAAGTCTCTCACGTGCTATTTATGATAAAATCAATCATTGTAATTTTTGAAAAGTAACCAAGCAGAATTTAATAAACTTCTGTGACCCCACAATCCTTCTTCTAGAAAGCTCCACTACAGAAATACAAGTGGATGTTTATTGGAAATCAATAAGAATGGTCACGGTATTCACGTGGATAGCAAGACCCTGGCAGTAATTACAAGGCCATCCACAGGATGATGGCTGAATGAATGATGACCAGTGTTGTCCACGTCAGGAGAGATGATTTAATCAGGAGGAAGAGTAAGGAAGGCTTCTGTGTATTGAATTAGAAAAATTTTCACTGTATATTTTAAAAGGAAGGAAAAAAGCCTCAGAACCATGTATATTAAATGTCCCTATTTTGTGGAAAAAATGAAAAGCAGAAATCTCTCAGTGCGAATCTACTACTCCTTTCTGTCTGAAGAGGGAGAAGAGCTCTCTTTGGGATAAGAGAAAATGTAGGGAAGATTCACACTTAACCTTCTGGATGTGGTACCCACAGCCTTTTAAAAGAGAAGACATCAAGACTCATTCAGTGTGTATGTCTTACACACCATGGAACCAGCCAGAGATCGTTGCATAATTTAACATCATAAAGAAAAGATCTCCTGGATCACAGCAGTCACTCATCTACAGGCACAAAAACAAGGGAGTTGGATAATGCTATTTCCTCCCCTTCCTTCCTTCTTCTCACTTGCCTGTATGTATTTATCAACATGTCTACAATAACAATTTGCTGCATTTGGAAAAGGAAAGCCATCAGAGTGTGTGTGTGCATGTGTGTGTGTGTGTGTGTGTGTGTGTGTGTGTGCGCACCAGCCAAAGCAGAAGGTTTGTTTTCGGCATTGGAAGTAGTTCCCGTGGCTGCTTGTCGATGCTGATGTGCAGTGGACATGGTTGTCACCTGAGCAGGCGCTTCCTGGCCATGCCTCCTAGCTTCCAAGAGAATCAGGGTAGAAGGAGGTCAGGTCTCCTCATCCACGGCGCTTGCCTTGTCTGAGCCAACCATCTGCAGGTACCATGTTGGTCACCTTCAGGGCTGTGCAGTGGGCCTCACCTCTGGGCAGCTGACACAACCAACTTTTTCCAAATGCTTGTGAGTGTCTTTACCATCAGAGACAAGGGAGTTGTGCTTCTTTCAAGTGACGCTCACCTCCTGCAGCACATTCTGGCTGGCTCTGAAGCCCCAGCTGGGTTAGGGAACTTAATATGTGAGTAGGAAACAGCAGGATTCCAAAGTGCTCAGAGACCCAGGGATCAGGCACCCTGGAGAGCAGACAGCCAGCCTCCTGCCCCGACAGCAGGCAGCCAAGAGGTCAGACCCAGGGAGGTAGCATAGCCCAGAGGGGCCGAGCCAGGATGGAGCTCACATCTTGGAAATCCACTTGGACCAAGGATGCAGCACAAGTCACCACACCTGTGTCCCTCCTCCTGGACACAGAGATGGCCTCTTTCCATGGCTCATCTGCAGCCTGGAACGGGATGTGTGTGACACTCGCCACTCCTAAGGAGACCCTGCCAGAGCCTTCTTACAGCTTCACCCTCTCCCTTCCCTTCTCCTGGTCTCAGAGGGGCAGGGGTTAAAGATGGCGGGACCCAACTTGATAGGCGTGAGGAATGGACTCGTGGTAGTGACCCCAACCCCAAGAGCACCTCCCCAGTCAGCCGTGCTGGAGTCAGGGCGGCCTCCCAGCGCTTCCCCCCAGGGACACCACCCCACTCCTCACAGGGCTTTTTTTTTTTTAAATAACAGAGTGTTAACTCTAGTCGTTCCTCCTGATCTGTGGGTTCCACATTCACGAATTCAACCAACCATGGATCAAAAATAAGAGAAGAAAAATGGGTCTGTACTAAACACGCCCAGGCTCTCTTTCCTGCCACGAGTCCCTGTTTTAGTCAGCTTTCTCACTGCTGGGACTACAAGGACCGAACCAGAACATCTGCAGAGGAGGAAAAGTGTATTTGAGGGCTTACAGTTTCAGAGGTCTTAGTCCATAGACAGCCAGCTCCATCACGGCAAAAGAGTGTGGCAGGGGGAACCAGCTCACAGGATGATCAGGAAGGAGAGAGAGAGAGAGAGAGAGAGAGAGAGAGAGAGAGAGAGAGAGAGAGAGACACTCCACTTGCCAGATACTAATATATACCCTAAAGCCAAAGCCCCAATGCCCCACCTCCTCCAGCCAATCCTACATACCTTCAGTTACCACTCAATCCCATCAGGTAATTAATTCACTGATTGGGTTAAGGCTCTGGTGACCTAATCATTTCTCCCCTGAACCTTCTTGCAACATCTCATACGTGAGCTTTAGGGGAACACCACATTTAAATCATAACAGTTCCTAAGCAATACAGCACTAACAGCTACTCACATTTATTAAATATTATAAGTAATCTGGAGATGGCAGAATAGATGAGATGGATGGCGTAGGTCATGCAAATATCACACTATTTTATACCGGGGACTTGAGCTTTTGAGGCTTTGGGCACCCACAGGGGTCCTGGAGTCAGTCCCCCACAGGCACCAAGGGATGACTGCATTATCTCCACTTGATGTATTTGGAGGACAGAAGAAGTCTTATTATTCACTGATGTAATTTTAGTAGCAGAACCAAAAGAGGTTGATGTATTTGGAGGACAGAAGAAGTCTTATTATTCACTGATGTAATTTTAGTAGCAGAACCAAAAGAGGCTGACAGTCCTCTTAGGTGAGCAGTGGTCTCAGACGCAGGGACAACCTGGTCCAACATCTAGAGAATCAATGGATGTTGCAAGACAGAACCAAATGGGAACATTCTGGAATAATTACAAGGAAGGAATGATCCGAAGAAACAAGAAAAAAAAAATCATTCCCATCAATATGAGAATAAATACCTTGACACACAAGATTACAAAGCAGGGAAGGAAGGCAGAGGGGTGGACGGTGCTGGCCTCCCTGGCACTCTTCAACTCCCAGATGGCCAGGGCTCGCTCTCCCCAGCTTCCTAACAGAATGTAAAACAAGAGCCAATTAACCAAGAAAACCCTTATTCTAGAGTTATTAAGGCAAAAACAAAAGCAGAAACTAATAAGAGTGCAAGAGTCACCCCAACTGGAGGCAGTGTGACAGGAACAGAAAGGGGACAGTCAGAAAGAGAAAGCGCCTGTGAGCTGGCCCGGGTCTTGGCCTCCAGGAGGGAGGTGGGACTGTTCACCAGGTGCTGGGCGTAGCTTCCTAATTCAACGCAGGGTACGCCGTTGCACGAGGTTGCAGAGCTCTGCCTGGGAGCCTGGTCCCCAGGAATCTACCTTGGGTCACCAGCCCACAGCAGCTAAGACCAAATGACTCATCGTGGACTGTGTGGTCTGGTTGCAGCAGGACAAGCAGCTGAAGCAGCTCAAGTCCGTTACTGAAGCAAGACTCACCCTGCAGTGGGGGCCACCAGGCTCCTCCTCTGGCCTCTGCCCAGAAACCCCACCTTACCATCCCCAGGGAGCCAAGGTGCTGAGAAAGCCCCTTGTCTTCTCCTCCACCAGCCCCTAAGGGACTCTAGGGAAACTGATGTTTGAAGAGCCACAGAAGGGCGTTTCCCTCGAGTGTCCCTGCTGGGCCCCCGGGGAGCAACGGTAACATGGGAACGCAGCCTCCAACATGGCTCAGACCTATTCTCCCCTTTGCACCCTCACCAGGACCCCACGAGTGCAGGGCACCAATACCCAGCTGGCTAGGCACTGGGAAATGACTGCAAAGTCACGGTTCACTGCTCGCTCCTTGAGGCTTCCTGATTTTCCAATAATATTTGGTCCTGCAAGCATTTAGAAAACCTCAGGCAGTCATGGAAACAAACGTAGCAGAGGCAAATGAACAGGCAGAAAAGACATATTTCATAGTGTAGCCACAGCACGGTGTCCTGTTGCTAGCCATCCGTGGGCTGTGTGTGAGCTAAGCCCATTGGAGCTACAGGAAGGGACAGGTCTGGCATTGCAAGCTGATTGGGCTGTGCAACCTAAGGGCATCTCTCCTCTCGCTGTGCCTGTGATCCCACAGGGCCCCTGAGATGGGTGTGACTTGCCAAGATGTCAATCAATCTGCTGTCCACAGGCATCACAAGACTCCACCTTTGAAACATTATCCCCTGTGTTATTGGGGTAGAAAGAACGTCTTTTCCCTACTAAGTGGAGGGGTTCCGGGTGCACTTTCTCTCTTGCCTTCCAGCATGGAAGAGGACCCTTGAGGTTCAGAGCAGTCCCACCCTCCACCTGACAAGCTCATGTCTGTGTGTTGCATGAATTCTCCGCCGTTTTCTTAGTTTAATGTTGCAGCCAGCTCTTTTGAACCAGCTCATCTCGTCATTGCGGACAGCAGAGGGGGTGAGAGTATCCTAGCATTATTCCATTATGGGATAGATAATGACAGACAGTTAGGACGGATGAAAAAGATGAAAGGTAGGTAGACAGAATGACAGACAGACAGTAGGGTCAAACAGTTGGAAAGAGGAAGGACCTGTGAGCTGGGAACTGGTCTATTTGGCTTTCTGTTTTAATTATATTCAATCTTAAGTATTTTCCAAATCAATACCAACAAATTTACACTGTGTGTGTGTGTGTGTGTGTGTTTGTGTGTGTTATTACATGTGCTCACGAATGCATGCCAGATATTGAACCCAGGGGCATTTAACGGCTGAGCCAAATTCCCAGCCCTTTTTATTTTTTTACTTTGAGATAGGGTCTCACTAAGTTGCCTGGGCTGGCCTGGGACTTGGGATCCTCTTGCCTCAGCTCCTGGGTGGCTGGGTTGACAGGGTGTGTGCCCAGCTGTGCATTTCTTCTTAAGCAATGTCTTGACACCTCAAAAGGAAATCCAGGTGTACTTCAGCATCATGTAATGTACATGCATGTGCCTCTGCGTGTCTCTTTCCTACGTTTTGGAGTTGCTTTGACTCCTTCTTGTGGTCATGTCTGTACCTTTAAGTAACATACTATCAGCTATATTTGATTCATAAGATGGAAACCATATCTACCATCCAACAGTCTGAATCCATCCGATCATTTCTGAGCTCTCCTCCATCCCTGAAGCGCAGACCTTGGTAAACTGAGTCGCGCGTTCCCCACCACCAAGCATGGCCTTGCCTTTCTCAGAGGGCAACTGACCTGGGGACAGACGTGCTCACTTGGCCTCACTGGGGACCAACATGGGACTTCGCATCACTGAATGGCCCAACCCCCTAAAGCCCCAGCTTCCCTGCACCTGTGAATAGGATAAACCAGCTGCATAGATCTACTAGGACAATTAATCTGTGGGATGCCTGGTAGATGTTCCTGATCAGGGTCCCCAGAATTTGGATCTGGTTGTCTATGAAGAAGTTGAGCACCCAGTCACCCGCTCCGTTCCTTCATGCAAACTCACCACCACTGCTGCGTTTGTTATTTTGATTAAGCTCTGAATTACATTTTCCATTCCAGTAATGTTTTCTAAAAGGCTGTGACTGAACTCTTAGAATTTAACAAATGGCATCATGTATCTGTTGACCAGGAGCAGAATGCTGGATTCCATTTCCCATACTCCCTCAAAAAGACCTTTTCTTAAGAAACCTAAAATCAGCTTCACGTTCAAACTCTTATTTTGTTCAGTCTGGTCACTAAAGGACCCTTCTCCTCCACAACTTTGACCCACTTCATGGTAAGGTCTCGGAGTCGATGGGTCTGTAGCCATGATTCCTAGAATATGGGTGTCCTTCAAATCAGTTCCTCCTTATTTCCATAATGTGAATCAA